TGTTTGGGAATAAGCAGTTCAGAAAATGGATGGATGTATGTAAGTAATAACCAAAGTACACCAAAATAATGCCGTTAAAGCCCTTTTAACAAGCAGAAACCTCAAACACACCCATCAGTTATTGCCTCGAATAGTTTCTTTTTGAGCTAATTAGTTTAAACTGGACTGCAAGATGTCCAGAAAGAATGAATCTTTCTCTGTTTATCTCCTTTCTCCTTTTGTCAAAAAGTCATTTCTGTCAGTTTCAGAACGTCCCTGTGAGACATTTCAGTCAGTTGACTGGAAACGAAACCAAAAAATGGTAATAAAACAAAGAAATGTGCCTACTGTTGTGGCAATAGAAGCACATCTTTATTGTTCTCAACATCTAGATGTTTTGTTTTTTTACATAATTTAACATTTTACAATACTAAAAGGCGCCAATTGTTGTTTACGATGAAAATTTTTCATTAACATATCTATTTTAGTGGATTTTTTTACCTGTAAAGTGCAATCCGGGGTCTTGGATTCCACCTGAATCTTGCTGAAAAAGCTTAACTTTTTACGACTGAACTGATCTTTTGTCTTCTCAGAAACTCATTGTTTGCTAAAGCCTGATTTCTTTTTTTTTCAGTGGCCATCGATACGGACGGAGAGTTCTACGTGAGCGGCGGGGGCCTGACGTCCAGGTTCCGCGTGGCCAGGCTGACCTTCCACTGGGGACGCTGCAACGTGACGTCCGGCGGGTCCGAGCACAGTCTCAACGGGATGAAGTACCCTTTGGAGGTAATGACCAATGGCGTGTACGATTAACCCCAAAAGCCCACCCTGAAGTGACCTGAATTGTTTCCGGCTATGGTTCAGATGCAGATCTACTCCTACAATCCGGACGACTTCCAAAGTTTGGACGATGCCGTTCGGGAAGGAGGAAGGCTCACGGCTTTGGCCGTGCTTTTCGAGGTAGCCTGACCCTTTCGATTTGTCCTTACGTCGAAATTAAAGTAGTTTAATTGGTAGATTTCTATGAAACGAGCGTCAGAAATGTGTCCTCGTCTGCAGGTCGGTCTGGAGGATAACGAGAACTTGAATCCTGTTCTGGAGGCTGTAAACAGTGTCAGCAGGTTCGGTAGGTCTCTTTAACAGCATTCTACATCTATACACGTTCGTAGAGATATAGTAAGCTCTAAATTTCTAGTTTTGTCAAAGATTACCTTCAAAATAGTCATTGTTACTGAGTCACATCCTCAAAACACCATCAGCTTGTTTTATCCAAGAAAGAAATTGAGAAATAAACCATTTCTGTGTGTGTTTCTTTGATTTTACCTCTATGCAATTACTTTTTTTCCCTTTTTTCTCCTTTTTTTCCCTTTTTTTTCTTTTTTTTCTTTTCTTTTTCTTTTTTTCTATGCAATTACTTGCTGTTTACCCAGCGGCTCGAAATCATTTTGTTTAGTGAGGGGGCGGATTAATATTTTTTACAGATAAGCAACACAAAAGGAGTGGTTCAAAGTCTCCTAATACCCAAGCGAGGGTCTTTAATGAAGCAACAACTGGAAAACATGTTGAGTTTTATTAGCTGGCTAAATCCTTGTGCGATTGAAAATGGTCGTCGGTGTCTTTTAAGTTTGAAAAAACAGTTTGAATTGGAGTTTTCCTTTAATTAGTGTTGAAAGGTTCATGCAGTTTGCATGCTAATAAAAAAGATATAGTACAAAGAAGCAGGTTTCATGTGAAGATACACTCTATTCTGGTTCTGTTATCAGCATATGGTTTCCTTAAGGTTCTCCCAGACTTTCTGGTGTCTGGCTGACATTTATATATAAACACTCAGACGTATAGCTCACCGTGGGACCATCTCGGTGTTATACAAAGCATTAGTCAGGTCAGGTTTCTCCAAACATAGCGTCAGCTTACAGCAGTAGAGCCGAGATAAAAGTACACGCGAGGAAAACCGAAGGAAAAACGATCTAATCTTCTTTGTCTAAATTATTTTATGTAATCACATGACAATAAAAAGTAGAAACACTGACAGATTCACACAGCCTTGAACTGGTTCCGTAAAATTCTGTTAATGTTTTTTCCCAGCTTCAGGTTGGTCTCTGTGGGACCTACGCTTTAATTTTAAATCCTCGCACAACCCTCCTTTTGCAATTAAAGTAAGAAACTAACGATACCCGTTTGAAGTTTTGTTGGGAATCGGGTTGCTTCATTTACTTCTGGTCTAAACCTGTCAAACATTTTCCGCTTTAAACAAAAGTGATGAGCGAGCTCACATCCTGCTTACATTTAAACATTTAGATCTCCCTTTATTTGTATCTGTTTCCACCCTAAGTGTCCTCGATGGTTTGGTGATACTTTAACGACACCCTATAACATTTGTTTTTACCTTTAGTCCTGGTGACAGACTCACAATGGGCCGGTGTTGGGATTTAAAATGGCTTCAATACCAAGATTAAAACAAATATTTAATAAGATAAGAAGTTACACAATAATTAACATTTTTCTAAAGGGTTAAACCATAGTAAATGCACATTTAATTAAAAGTTATGCATGCTGTATGATCCACAATGGAGAATCTGACTGTTTAATAATGCAAATTTTGTTGATCTGACCAGGAAAGAGCGGGTCAGTGGAAGCTTTCACCCTGAGGTCACTGCTGCCCAACAACACGGAGAAGTACTACATCTACAACGGGTCGCTGACCACTCCGCCCTGCTCGGAACTGGTCGAATGGATCGTCTTCAAACACACCGTGGCCATATCCGAAGCACAGGTCAGTGAATTCCATCGCATGTGCTCCAACAGGCCCCGTGGACACAGATGTTCATTTCCATCTGAACATCTGAAAAAAAAAAAACACAAAAAATGGACCCGAAAGCATCTGCTCTGTTATTTGGAACGCGTCACTTAACACCATTATTCCTCCAGCCATTTCATTTTAGAAGCACTCATTTTAACAGTGTTTGGTTTGCCAAAATCCCAATATTTTTCAAAAAAGGCTTTGCTGCTATTATTCATAAAATTGAACATTTAATGTTTTTGCTATTTTCTTTGAAGAGATAAATGTTACTGTTTGAGATTTGCTCAAATTCTGTTTTTATTCCCAGTGTCATAATTAAATATAGCACTTTTCGATACAAACTGTAAAGCTCCTTGGTGTAACATCTTCATGTTTATTTCAAATCTTGTCATTTTAACAAGGACATCTTTTTGTGAAATGGGTACAAAAACAAAACAGAGATAAGCTATTTGCTCTCATATTGGAAACAACACTGTAATGGATGAACTTCTTCCCGTTTCTGCTGCCTGTGTGTTTGTTGTGTCTGGTTTTTAGTTCGTGCCTGGTCTCGGGGCAGCTGTCATATGCATCTGCACGCACACGAAAAAAGACGTTAAACCGAGGTGACGCGGAGTGACAGTTTTAGTCCAAACGGCGGTCTAGCAGAACACAATTTTCTCGTGCTGCAGTTTGGAAAAAAAAAAACATGATGTTGTAACATTCTCTGCTGGAGATGGGAGGAGAACTGATCATCGATTTTTTTTTTTTTTTTCCCCTGGCTGAATAATAGAGGGCAAATGAGATCCTGCTTGTGTTTTTTGTGCTTTGCGTGCTTGTAAAATTGTGTGTCTGTGTGTTTGCACGGGGGGAGCAAACTGGCAAGGCATGACGTGGACTCATTCATGCTAACCAAAAATAGAAATTCAGCCTGGCGCGGTGCAAGCCTCTTAACAAAACACACACACGAGGGGGGGGATGCAGAACACATATATATAAATATTTCGGGTTTCAGCTTTTTTTTTGGGTTGGGTTTTAATTTCCTCTTTCGTTATTTCCTGTCTGTGCTGTCCCCTTCCACCAGTTGGAGTTTTTTTGCGAGGTGATGACCATGGAGCAGGCCGGGTACGTGATGCTGACGGATTACCTGCAGAACAACTTCCGGGAGCAGCAGCAGCAGTTCGTGGGCCAGGTGTTCGCCTCCTACACCGGGGTGGAGGAGGTCCTCACGCCCAGTACGTCGCCGCATTTTGTTAAGAGAACGACAAAAAGTCTTGTTTTTTTTACATTTGCCAGTTGTGCACGCTCCTGCTTTTTTCATTCGTCAAAATTTTTGCACATCACGGACTACCTTTAAGTGTTTATAGCTGACATAAGTCCGTTGCCGACACACAAAAAAGCCTTTTTCAACCCTTTCACATCCACCATTTGTAGGAACACCTATTTCACTGACCATAGAGTATACTAGATCAAATTCACT